CCAAAACCTTTGGTTTTGTAGTCATCACTGGAGGAAGCTTGAAATTTTTTCACTGCATATTGGCTTGAATGAGACCTCCTACTTGACAGGGCAAATGGGTAGGCCTGGAAGTCAAATGCAGAGACCTTTCCATCATAGACTCTGATATAAACAAGAATTCATTAATTGATTCAACCTGTCAGCATTCATCGAAGGCTGAAATACTGCATCCATTTTGGATATAAAAAAATCATTTATCACATAGCTCATAATTCCCAATACTGACCCTTTCTTTTGTTGGTATATTAATGCCAGTTACGAAAACAATTTACACAACAAAAGGTGTTTTCACAAGCAGCATAGCTGAAGTTGAAAAATCTGTCAAATATAATCTTATAGCTAGAAATCGGCTTGCCCACTATTCATACGAGTGTACATAAACTGACAATTAAAATAATATTCCCATTATTGTTGTATTTCAAATTGTAAACATCCACGCAATGCTTTGACAAATTATATTCTATACTTTGATGACTATTAAAGCTGTTATTAGCAGACCAAAGCTCTTAAAAGGTCTACTAGGTTTAATAGCTGAATTTCGCAAGAGGTGATAGTAAACAGCCAAGCTTAATGCGTTTCATGCTGGGACACCTAATGGTGCGCAAACCTTTGGAATATTTTTTAAGGGAAAGGCTTTTCACCGATTTGCATTTAGCTCTTTTTTTCCAGGCAGTGCCTATGTACAGCACGCTACATGCGTGTGCATTTGCAGTCAAATAAAGACGAGATATCTTAAGATGCTCAGATGGTAGCATGCATCAATGCATCTGCCTGTTGTTTCCAACATGTGGTTTCCATAGTAACAACTGTGAAAAAAATATTGTTCTGATTTTTCTTGCAAATGGTATATTATTCTTAGCTGAAAAGCGGTAGACCTTGCAAATTTTAAAGTTGACCTTTTATCTATTTAAAGGAAAACTATCATAAAAAGCTGATTTTTTTTTATTTGTATGTTTAGAATGTAGGTATATGCAATAACCAAGTTAATATTTTATATTTAATAGCTTACATACTAAATGGAAACTTTTCCCTAGGAGGGGCTGTGAAATAGGGGATGGCCATATTCAATGGAAGATACTATGTCAGTTTTGCAGGCTCAGCTTTCTGATATTAAGGCTCTTTTTTCTTTTAAAACAATACTTCAACCAACAAATTTAAAAAGTTTCAATAGAAAAATCAGCTTTTGCTGCAAAGCTTACCATCAATCCAAAGCTATACTCCACTATACTTTTTCTGACACAGGATGCCCATGCTGTGATGGTCCCCAGCCTATGACTGGACAGTAAGGAGAAGCATCACAGGGATGAGCTCATCTCTCTGTCATTCTGCTCTCCCCTCCTATCAGTGTGCTTCTTGTTACAACATGAAGTGATTGAGTATATGTGCAGCTTATTTTTCTCCCACTTTTAGCTCTGCTGTACATAGACACAATAGACTGGTACCAAGCCATACTGTTTGCATATGAAAAAGTACATTTAACATTAATGAATACAGAGATGTACAGTCATGTGCTTGATCTGCTGTAGAGGAGGGCAGGGAAGACACTAGAGCAGCAATGGGCAAACTACGGCCTGCGGGCCGTATACGGCCCGGCGGACCTTTTAATCCGGCCCGCGGAGCTAGGCTCCCGCTAGGCTCCTCTCACAGTCCGCCCTGTTTCCTATGAGGATCTGTCCCCCCCCCCCTCGACGCATCTGCGCATGTGCCGGAGATCGCCGATCGGCTGCTAATGCCTGAAACTGGCACATGCGCAGATACGTCGAGGGGGACAGATCCTCATAGGAGACAGATTTTCATGCTAAACCGAATGGCGCGGGAACAAGAGGAAATCAAAGGTCTGAATTGACACAGGGGGGACTTGGGGCTTAATATGGGGGATGAATTAATATGGGGAATGAATTACTATAGGGGGGATGAATTACTATATAGGGGATGAATTACTATATGGGGGATTAATTACTATATATGGGGGATGAATTACTATATGGGGGATGAATTACTATATGGGGGATGAATTACTATGGGGGATGAATTACTATATGGGGGATGAATTACTATATGGGGGATGAATTACTATGGGGGATGAATTACTATATGGGGGATGAATTACTATGGGGGATGAATTACTATATGGGGGATGAATTACTATATGGGGGATGAATTACTATATGGGGAATGAATTACTAATGGGGATGAATTACTATATGGGGGATGAATTACTATGGGGGATGTACTATGGGGGATGAATTACTATGGGGGATTTAATTACTATATGGGGGATGAATTACTATATGGGGGATGAATTAATATGGGGGATGAATTACTATATGGGGGATGAATTACTATGGGGGATGAATTACTATATGGGGGATTAATTACTATGTGGGGGATGAATCACTATGGGGGATGAATTACTATGGGGGATGAATTACTATATGGGGGATGAATTACTAAATGGGGGGATAATTACTATGGGGGATGAATTGCTATATGGGGGATGAATTGCTATATGGGGGATGAAATTACTATTGAATTACTATTGGGGGATATGGGGGACGAATTACTATGGGGGAGAATTACTATATGGGGGACACTGTATGGGGGATGAATTACTATATGGGGGATGAATTACTAAGGGGGATGAATTACAATGGGGGATGAATTACTATATGGGGGATTAATTACTATGCTTACTAGAATATTACTATACTTACTATGGATGACACATACACATCATTCATCTACTCTTGGTCCGGCCCCCGGGTCCAATATATGAACCCATTGCGGCCCTCAAGTCAAAAAGTTTGCCCACCCCTGCACTAGAGGGTAGATTTACTAGAACTGGAGCACTCAGAATCAGCTTCTAACTTCAGCTCATTCAGTTCAAGTGTTACTAAACCCACAACAGTAAAATCAGTCTGTATATGCAGTAAAGCATACTTGTTGTTCTCACTGTGGAAATGTATATTATATAGGGTGCGCTTGTTGGAGCTCAACCTCTGTAGCTGTAGGAAAAAGGTGCCAGGTGGATATCAGGGATGGATGGATGGATGGGAGCAGTAACAAAGAGGCAGCTCTTCTTAGAGTGGAAGCAAGGCTCTAATGCAGTAACAAGAAAAAGAGAGGAATTCGCCTCTAAGTGCAGTATTGACAATTTACTGTATTTAGTAAACAATGGATACATTGCACTTACAAGATAAAGGTCTGAAGGAGCCTATTGAGCATGCTCCGAAATGCATTACCGCCCCCTTCACCTCCTACATCCGACTCTGCACTCCAAGCTTCATTTCGATGCACAGGCACATCCTGGACTCTACTTCCTGATCCTATAGACAGCGTTTGCTGCTGGACGGCTGGATGTCCCACCTGGATCTTAATACATCACAAGATGAGTCTTTTTAACTATTTATCTTGTAAGTGCAATTTATCCATTGTTTACTAAATAAATTGTCAATACTGCACTTAGAGGCGCCTTCCTCTCTTTTTCTTATACTCACTGTGGAACCTAAGGGGTTAATCCTCCGCATTGTGCATAAAGGATGTTTGATCCTGTCTTCTTTGATCCTTCCCTTCTTCTACTGTTCCCAATCCATCTGTTGATAGAACAGAGCCTTGGGGGAAAGCTGCACATGCTCAGTTTGGTGTGTATTGCTAGTTTTTTTTTTTCTTGGGACAGTGCAGGTGATCAGCACAGGGCCAATGAGCGCTGTCCAGTCAGAGGGTCAGAGGTCCTTCAGCCTCATATGGGAGAATGAAAAATCCTCCTATTATCTTTAACCAGTGGTCTGCTGGACACTGATAGAAGTCATGAGACTGCTCCTACTGCTGAGAAAAGGTATTTGGCAGTTTAATTTACTAAAATAAATGCATTTCCATGTTCTGTGGGAGACCAGATATAGTGAATGCAGGGTCCTGGGTTTAGTAACACTTTAAGCTTTAAACTGCACCAGATTTTGCACTTTTCATGTTTAGTAAATAATCTCCTAGGGGTCTAATAGACCCCTGTTGTCTCCATGAACAGTAGCTGTGCCTGCCCAATGCTATCATATAGGGGACGTGTTAGCCCCTTTGTGATAACAATAAAATAAAGTTAAAAAAAAGAGTGTTAAAAATTTACAAATGCACATATTGGGAATCACCACTAGAGTAAGAGAAATAATTCAAGCTCCCTCTTTTATAATTAGCTCTAAACTGATGAGCTATTAATGCATTTAAAGCATCACCTATTGATAATGTTTGCTAGAGTCAATTATGCCATTTCAAAGGCACACATCATAAGGGTTGACATATTTGGTATTTGTTTACTCAATGCTGCCTCATCTTATATTTTGAACTTTTTTAGCTGTTTAAGGGTCAGTTCAGACCAGAACAAGGTGCTGGAAACCCATGTTCCGTGCTGCATTCAAAATGCATTGCACTTGCAATCTGCAGTGGGTGACAGTGTAAACTTTAGACACTCCAAAAGCAAGTTGTAAATGCAGTGCATTTGCCAGCACCGGATCACCTGGTGCAGTAGTATCAGGTGATCCAATTTTTGTGCATGCACTACTTTTGGTGCATTTTCCCCAAGTGAATGAGGTGAAGCATTGCTGATTTCTATAACCCAATCATATGTAAGAAAAAAGTTCTATTTTTGTTCTCTTGCGCATTATTGGATATTTTTTGCAAAGTGAAATTTCACCACATTAACTAATTCCCTCCAGCCTTACTTTTTAGTTCTGCAGAATTATAAAGGCATTTCAGCTGTGCTAAAAATGTTTATTCTGATTTCACCACACACAGTGGGCTTCTCACAGTGTGCATTAGAATCTGCAGTAGTTTGATAGAGCCGAGCTCATTTTCTAGCTGAAGGACATCCAGCATCATCTTTCCTCCCATGCCTTACCATTCCTGACTCAACTTTGCTTCAAATTATTCTTCCCTCTTCTAGTGATGTAGTTTTATTTGTTGGGTTTCAGTTCTTTCAAACATGTAGATTTTGCATCAAATGTGTGTTGGCAGGTGCAGTTGGTTTGACTGCCACTAGGCTCTGTTGCCATTATAGTATGGTAAGGGGAAAGTTGTAATCAGGTGTTAGCTCCCTTTTTAGAGAAATCCCTTCTTTAATGACGTAGTGGGTGGAGTTAGTGCCCATAATAATGCCAGCTGTCACTGGAGCCTGAGAGAGTCTGGGGCAGGGGAGGACTGACCATTTGGAAACTCGGGCACTGCCCGAGGGCCCGGGGTCAGTAGGGGGCCCCATGAGATGCCCCTGGTACCTTTTTCACAGGCTATTTTGAGTTTGGGCGAGTTCTTGTATGTGAGTGATGGTGGAAACCTGGGAATAAAACTGTCATCTAGGAGCATGCCCGAATAGGCAAAGCTATAGAAGAAATATTGGAAAGAGACCGGTATACTAATGGAAGCACCTTGTCCCCCAGACGCTCAGTTGTGGGTCCTGTGACTCTGTGATGGAAGCCTATTGCTGTGGACTTTGTATACATACATGGGATAGGGGATCCCAACTTTGTGGTGCTCCCAACAAGGAGAAGAAGAATGAAGGAGAGGGAAGATGGTTTAATGAAAACATGTTTACTTGTGCTTCGCACTGAAATGACTCCTACAAAATGTTGAACCTCCACACCAACAATTCTGATAGTATGTCAAAGGAGAAATGTCACAGGAAGTTATGTGAAGATGTGAAGTTGCAGTAAAGTGCTGAAAGTGTATGGACATTTCTTTATTACAAGTGTAGGCCTCAGACTGGGAATATGTAAGCGGTCCTCTGGCCAGGAGACATGTGTCCAATATGGTGGCTACAAAGGCAGGGGAGTAGGTGGTCTATCCAAGAAGAAGGATGAGGCCGACACAGTTGGAACCAACATCTGCTCAATCAAAAGCCCCCACTTACATGTGGGTGTTACTTAAGATGGTTTGCATGCAAATTTGGTCTTTAGGATTGCCTAGCCCTGCAGACTGACACCCACCCATCAAGAAATTTTTATATTTGCTTAACTCCTCCCAAGAGCCAGCCCACTGCTTACACCAGGACTAAGAGCTCTTAAGAGGAGTACCCAGGCAAGGTGCTGTGATGTTTTCAGGCAGCTATAGACAGCAACCTGCTGGTCCTTCTCAACCAGCCATGATCTGCCTTCATTACATAGAGATGTCACTGTGCCTAAAACAATATGAAAACAGAAAGTATTGGATAGCTTGCTCTAAGTGCCAAGATCCCTGCACCGGTGATCCACAACTCATGTGGCTGCCAGTGTCTGGAACACTCATCCAGAAGCCATGTGTATAGAGAATGTGGAGACACCGCAAACCGAGAAGCCGGATCTTAGATAGGAGTGAACAGCTACTTCAGCCCAAGCTCTTCCCAGGCCACGGCCACTGATGCGTTTCACCCTGCCCTCGGGGTTTAGTCATAGAAGTCAGACCTCTATGACTAAGCCCCAAGGACAGGGTGAAACACATCAGGGGGCTTGGCCTGGGAGGAGCCTGGGCTAAAAGGACTCTTCACTCCAATCTATGATTGGGCTACTCTGTGTGCGGCGTCTCCACATTCTCTATACACCTGAAAACAGAAAGGTTTTATTTAAAAATGTCATCAGCATGTTGATGGGAAGAGAGAAAACAGGGAATACAAGATACAAGCAAAGTAAACTTCTGCCAACAGATAAAGCGAATCCTGGATTTGGTCCATCCTTAATCCTAACTTGGCCAGTAGCACATACTCATGCTGTGATAATAAAGCATCAAATTTGGTCGTACAATTCACACCGTTCAGGAAAACTCTGTGCCTGTCTTCTCCTTGTCCCAGGATTGCACTGACCATTTTTGTACACTTTTTTACTTTTCTTTTTTTTTTTTACAATTTTTAGTATTTCCTACAAATAAAGTTTGCACAACTTAGTACAAGAATGAAGCCATCTGTTATGAAATGTAAAACAGCTGCTGTCTGATTATGCCTTGCTTCACTGAAGCCAAATTATTAAACTTGCAAGCCGTAAATAGTTTTTTCTAATTAAAATAATGCTTGGTTACTTAGATTTTACACAGAGATTGTGCCCATTTTTGTGGCAACCGGAAAATTATTACAGAGCTGTAATATTCAAGATCCGTGCTAATATAATTGCAAAGCATTAATTATCTGGCCTGGATTGAAGATTCATTTCTAAAGACTGGTAAGAGCTTGAAACTGCATTAGAGATACTTTAACAGCAATGGGAAAATTGTGTTTCTCAGCTATTCAGTATGAACTGGAAAAAGCTTTAGTGTAACAACAGGGCAAGAAGAGGCACTAAAAGTGGCTGTAAACCTCAGACATGAAAAATGAACAAAGCATATCCCTCTATAGTGTGTGCTTGTCTCAATCCAGAGCAATAAGTGTCATTTCTGTCTACTGCCACGTTCCTCTGCTATCTGCATGAGTGACTTCTGACAAGTTTTCTTGACACCAAAAGAAAGAAGGTAACGGCAGGGATCTCCACCACATGGCCTGTGACTGACAACCTCAGCTCTGTTCCTGTGAGCTGTGTGTAGGATAATGTATCCCTTCCCTCCAATCAGCTCTCAGAACCCCCCCCCCCCCCCCCCCCCCAAGCTCTGCAGAGTAATTTCAGCTCTCCGCTCCCTTTTTTCTGAACTCTTAGACAAGCTTTATAAAGTCTGACATTCTGCACTTTGAATGGCTATAGAGAATATTGCAGATAAATAGGTACAACTTAGACTGATATGAATGTACAATATATATGTAAATTGCTCCTTAAACTGACATTGCTATATAAGTACCTGTAATAAATAATAAAAAATAAACATAGGAAGATTTGTTTCATTGTGTATCATTTGAGGCTTGTCGGTTCATTGGGTATAAACGAGGGTTTACAACCATTTTAAAGTAACAATAAAGTCTAGTCACATAAAATGTATTCAAGTATGTATTCTTAAAGTGTAACTATAGCAGGGGCGGATTGACCATTTGGAAACTCGGGAACTGCCCGAGGGCCCGGGGTCAGTGTGGGGCCCCATGAGATGCCCTTAGTACCCTTTTCATAGGCTTTTTTTGAGTTTGGGCAAGGACACAGGGGCCCCATGATCCCCTATTGCCCGGGGGCCCATTGAGCTGTCAGTCCGCCTATGAACTATAGGCAAAATGTTTTTATAATTTTGGATAGAATAAGAGAAGCTTATAACCCCAGTTAGTTTTTTTTTTATCATCTGTGCGCCATTGGGGAGAATTCCCTTCACTTCCTATCCCATAGACAAAATAGGAAGTGAGAGGAAATCCCTCCAAAGGGACGGAATCCCTGGTTGTTACCAGACTCGATAGAGTTAGTGTCCCCATTTGAAGATTTCCCCTCCATTACTGCTCTGGGGGACAACCCAAAATTTGGGATTTTCTTTCAGCTTCAGGCCTCATTTACATTGCATGATTTGGAAACCTGGGCAGAATCTCCACGATTCTACCTATGATTCCAAATCACGGCAAAACACGCAATGAGCATTAAGACTAATGGCACCCCAAATGTGGTGCAATTCAAATGTGATTGTTGCGCAGCAATTGCAGCAAAATGCAAGTTTAAAAATTGTGTGAAGCTTGTTGCCCAAAAGGGAGCTGGAGCTTCTTTTGGGCGACAAACACGTATAGGGCAGCTTATTGACGTGAATAGGCTGCCCTATGCCTGACAAGCTAATGTGTATGTACAATGCTAGTATGTGTATGTATGAATGTGTAGTATGTGTATCTATGAATGTGTAGTATGTGTATCTATGAATGTGTAGTATGTGTATGTATGAATCAGTATGTGTATCTATGAATGTGTAGTATGTGTATGTATGAATGTGTAGTATGTGTATGTATGAATGTGCAGTATGTGTATGTATAAATGTGTAGTAAGTGTATCTATGAATGTGTAGTATGTGTATGTATGAATGTGCAGTATGTGTATCTATATGTGTAGTATGTGTATCTATGAATGTGTAGTATGTGTATGTATGAATGTGCAGTATGTGTATGTATGAATGTGTAGTAAGTGTATCTATGAATGTGTAGTATGTGTATGTATGAATGTGTAGTATGTGTATCTATGAATGTGTAGTATGTGTATGTATGAATGTGCAGTATGTGTATCTATGAATGTGTAGTATGTGTATGTATGAATGTGTAGTATGTGTATCTATGAATGTGTAGTATGTGTATGTATGAATGTGCAGTATGTGTATCTATGAATGAATGTGTATGTATATGTGTAGTATGTGTATGTGTATGTATTAATGTGTAGTATGTGTATGTATGAATGTGTAGTATGTGTATGTTTGAATGTGTAGTATGTGTATCTATGAATGTGTAGTATGTGTATGTATAAATGTGTAAGTGTATCTATGAATGTGTAGTATGTGTATGTATGAATGTGTAGTATGTGTATCTATGAATGTGTAGTATGTGTATGTATGAATGTGCATTATGTGTATCTATGAATGTGTAGTATGTGTATGTATGAATGTGTAGTATGTGTATCTATGAATGTGTAGTATGTGTATGTATGAATGTGCAGTATGTGTATCTATTATTATTATTATTATGAGTTTATATAGTGTGCCAAATGGGTAGCGCTGTATAATATGGTGTATGTATGTGTATTATGTGTACAAGGGGTAATGTACGAGCTTGTGTATCTAGGACATTTGGAGGGGGTAATATGTACATAGGAAGTGGTAGGGGATGTAGTGTAGGAATGAGGGAATGTTGTAGGGTGGGGTAGGCTTCCCTGAATTATCTATGAATGTGTAGTATGTGTATGTATGAATGTGTAGTATGTGTATGTATGAATGTGTAGTATGTGTATGTAGTATGTGTAGTATGTGTATGTATTAATGTGTAGTATGTGAATGTATGAATGTGTAGTATGTGTATGTATGAATGTGTAGTATGTGTATTTATTAATGTGTAGTATGTGTATGTATTAATGTGTAGTATGTGTATGTATGAATGTGTAGTATGTGTATGTATGAATGTGTAGTATGTGTATGTATTAATGTGTAGTATGTATGTATGAATGTGTAGTATGTGTATGTATTAATGTATGTATGTGTATGTATAATGTGTAGTATGTGAATGTATGAATGTGTAGTATGTGTATCTATGAATGTGTAGTATGTGTATGTATGAATGTGTAGTATGTGTATCTATGAATGTGAGTAGGGTAGATTGTGTGTAGGGACTGATGTATGTACAAATATATATGTGTAGTATGACAGTGCTATATAATACTATGAA